TCATTTTCACTTGTAACTGGTTCTCCCTGTTTCTATTTGTAGATACGAATGTTACTCAGATTCTGATTGTACTGCAGGTCAATTCTGCAATCCTATTGGATGGAACTGTAGCAATATTGTAAATGTTACCAATTCATGCAAATTATCATGTGTACATGGTAAATGCGACAATACAAATGGTATTGCTAAATGTACATGTGAACCTGGATATAGTGGAGAATTATGTCAAAATTTTGATTCCAATAATGGTAATTCCAACTTTACTAATCCATGTACATTATCATGTGTTCATGGTAAATGTGAAAATGCAACTGGTATTGCTGAATGTATTTGTAATTTAGGATATAGTGGAAAATTGTGTGATAATGAAAACAACACCCCTTCAAACCCATGTACTCTTGATTGTAATCCTCGTGGAGCTTGTGTTAATACCACAGGAAGTGCCATTTGTATTTGTGATGAAAGTGCCAACTATGCATTCCAAAATAACAAATGTGTTCGTAGTCAGCCTGTTTGTAATAATGGATGTGGCAATGGCGTTTGTAAATATAGTGATGATGAATCATCAGTTACTTTTTGTGATTGTGATTTAGGATACAAATCTCAATCAGGTCCATGTAGTTCTTGTAATGATATTTTAGGATATGTTGAATCAAATGGCAAATGTGTTTGTGATGAATCAGCTGGATTAGTTACTTCATCCAATGGAACTTGTGTCCAAACAAATGCTCCAAAATGTCAATATGATTGTGGTTCCAATGGTGTTTGTGAATTTATTACTGCAACAACTTCAGATTGTGTTTGTAAGAATGGTTTTGAGACTAAAGTTGCATCACTACCATGTTCTTCATGTCCAATTGGATCTGTTCTAAAAGGATCTACATGTGTCTGTGATGTAGCTTCTGGTTATATTTCAAGTGGCTCTGATTGTATTTGTGATACTTTGAGTGGATTTAATAATACTGGTAGTGCCTGCGCTTGCAGTGAATCTTTAGGTTTTATCAAAGAGGGAAGCAACTGTGTCTGTAAACTTGGATTTGAGAATATCGAGGGTACATGTGTAGCTAAAGTTCCTGTATGTGTAAATGGTTGTGGTAAGGGAGTTTGTGAATTTATTAATGTTGCTACATCTGATGCCACACAATGTAAATGTTTCACTGAATACGTAACAACAAATGCTCAATCACCATGCTCTGAATGTGCATCAAGTTACTCAAAGAATAGCAATGGAATTTGTTTACGTGTGTGTGAAAGTGGATATTCTGGAGAAGACTGTTCAGTTTATACTCCACCAACTCAATGTATTGAGGTTCCAAGTGGTTCATTAACTTATTGTAAATCAAGTGTTTACTACAAGGTACTGAATACCGCCTTTTCCCCAACAGCACATTATTCTAGTCCACAATCTGCTTTAACAGAAATTACTAACTTATTGAAGAGTATTGATAGTGAGGCAGAAAAGAAAGCTCAATCAATGATTGACACTATTATTAATGGTGGAAAAACTTGTGATGACACTTGTCGTAAAGCTATTGCTAACTATATTTGTTATCAAGATATCAAACCTTGCTTTTCCGATAAATCCACTCCATACGAAAAATCACTTTGTAAGAACACTTGTGCTTTCATTTGGACTAACGGTATTGTAAACTCAACCTCAACAAGTAATTGTGAAGGAAAACCTGAAAGTGAATGTTTCTATGGTAAATACTTACCACCTTCAACTAGTTGCTATGGTAAACTCTATACTGATGCAGCTGTTTGTTCTGGTAAAGGACTTTGCATGGATGAAAATTCATGTTCTTGTCGGACTGGATTTTCTGGCTTGAATTGTCAATTCAATTTATGTTTTGGTATTGATGGAAATTCATCAAGTGTTTGTAATGGAAATGGTGATTGTGTAGGAGTCAATAATTGTAAATGTAAGACTGGTTTTACTGGAAGCAGTTGTAACATTCCAATTTGTAATGGTAAACAAGAGAGCGAGGGAGGTTGTTCTTTCCAAGGAACATGTACATCAAGTGGATGTTATTGTAAGAATAATTTTGCTGGTTCATCATGTTCATCATGTAAGGAAGGTTTTACAGGTTCTAAATGTGACGTTCCTATCTGTAATGGTATTAAGGCAAGTGATAAGGGAGTTTGTGGAGGTAGAGGCTCATGTGTTTCTATTGAAGGTGTTCCAACTTGTAAATGTTCCGAAGGTTATGATGGAGACTTGTGTCAAAACTTCAAATGTAATGGTATTGATAGAAGTAATAGAGATGTTTGCTCAGGAGTTGGTTCTTGTGTTTCAGTTGACACTTGTGTTTGTAAAGGAAATTATGAGCCATCCAAATTCTGTTCAGTTTGTACACTTGCTTATAGTGGAGTCAATTGTACTGGTAGAATTTGTTCTGATGAAGGAACATGTAACGGTCATGGTGTTTGTACATCAGATTTCAAGTGTTCTTGCACTGGTAATTGGGTTGGTGAATATTGTAGAAATTGTAAAGAAGGATTTGTTGGAAGCAATTGTCAAGTTCAATGTACTTCTGCTCAAAATTGTTCCAGTAGAGGTACATGTAATTCTGATGGTTCTTGTACTTGTATTGGAAACTCAATGGGTGCAAACTGTGAAAAGTGTGTTGAGGGTTGGTATGGTGAAAAATGTGACTTTAAGATTGATCAAAACTCTTTTGGTTTCTCTCAAAATGGCGATTCTATTTCTGGTGTCGTTTACTCATCACTTAAAAAGAAGTTTACTTGTTCAGAATTGATTACTGATGTGAGCTCAATTGGAGAAGGTGCTGGTTGTTTAATTAATAGTGAAACCATGACTATGACAATCTCTATTGGTCCATCTGCATCTATTAAGGTCAATGACAAATTAATATTCAAGAAGTATTTCTCATCACCAGAAACTGTAGCAGTTACCGTAGAAACAAAAGATTTTGTGCCAATACCACCAACAGCAACTTTGACTGCTGATAAGTCTATTATTTCTAAAGCTTGTGGTTCAATTTATTTGGATGCATCTGGATCTATTTCCAAGGACCGTAGAGCATTGAAATTTATTTGGGCTGTTGAAATATCTCCTTCAGCTGATGACGTTTCAACCTTACAAAAAATTCTTGATCAACAACAAGATATATCTGGTGTAAAGATTAGTGCTAAAGATTTGAGTGTTGGTTCTTATTCAGTCAAAGTTACTGTTTCAAGTACTTTCTCTCAAAGGTCAACTGTTGCTTTTGCTTCTTTTGAAGTCACTGACTTGACAGCTCCAACTGTAACCATTAAGGAAGGTCTTCAAAGTACACTAGTTATTGGTAAGACTTCAACAATAACTCCTCTTGTAACATTCCCATCATGTTATATCGGAAGTGGTGAAATTTCTTATGTATACAGTTGGGATTCCAAAACAACCATAACTGTTCCTATCCTTCAAATGAAGGAAATGCTTGTTTTCAGCGATACTTACACCAAGATTACAGAACCTGGTGAATATTATTTAACTTTGACTGTTTCTCAAACTGGAGCTGCCTCTGTTTCAATTCCATTTACAGTATCTGCCAAAGCATTACCTTTGGTAGTAGGATTTAATATACGTGACATGTCTCAGTCCTTTGAAACAGATGTTTCATTCGTTGTCAACAAGAATGATCCAAGTAATCCGTCAGATGCTTCAGGTAATGTCCAATTATTGTGTTCCAATATTGATACAGGAGTTGACTGTTCAGGATTCAAATCCAATGAAAATAATATTGATCAAACATTCTTGTCATTTAAGAGCTCCATGCTTCCTGGTGTTTATTTGTTCACTACTATTTTCACCAAAGGATCCAGAAGAAGCTCAGCAACTGTTAAGGTTACTGTTCTTGATCAACCAAAGAGCAGTGTTATAAGAGTTTCAATTATTGCACCAGTTGGTTCTGATTCCACATCTATGGATCCATCTAGTGACTTGATTTTACAATCATCATCAGCTGATACACTTTCAACATCTAGAGTATTTACTTGGTCATCAACTGATTTAGAATTGAGCTCCATTTCAACATCTAACAAGTACATTAACATACCAAAGAGTTTACTTGTTCCTGGAGCCACTTATTCTATCAATGTTAAGGTTGTTGATGGTTTGAGATCTGGTGACGCAACATTTACTTTCACTGTAAACTCACCACCAACAATTGGTATTTTAGAAGTTTATCCAAAATCTGGCATTGCTTTACAAGATGAATTCCAAATCAAGTGTGGTAATGGTTGGTACGATACTCAACTTCCACTTTCTTACAAATTCATGTACAAGACTTCTGATGCAACTATTTGGAAGGTTCTTTCTGAAAGATCTGAAAAGAGATCTATTGCTACTTCTTTGCCTGCTGGTAACTTGCAAATTAAGGTTGTGGTTTATGATTCCTTGGGTGCTGCTTCTGAAACTATTAGTGAAGTGACAACATCACTTCCATCATCTGGACAAGCTCTTGGACTTTTAGAAACTGCACAAAAAGGTTCTATTTCTGTTTCTTCTTTATCGGCCGTTCTTAGTGTTGTGTCATCTGTTACTCCAGCTAGTGCTGAAGAAAAACTTGCTTTACAACAAGCTGGTAAAGCTTTCATTGATAAATTCTTTGAACAAGAAGATCAACAAAGTCAAATTGTTTCAGAATCATCAGAATCAGCATCAACTAAGGTTTCAATTATTTCATCAGTGAGTGATAATGTTCGAAACTTCCCAGATGATACTGTTTCAAAGATTATTGATCAATTCTTTACAACGGTTATGGGTGTTTCTTCCTCTGAAACTATTAGCATGAAACCTGATGATATTGAAAACTCTAAGAAGTCTGCATCATCGCTAGAAGAATATGTTTCTAGTTCCGTATCCAAGAGAGCCATTTCAACATTTACTATTCAAGATTTGAACAAGATTGACCAAATCAAAGCAAATCTTGTAAGTGTTGAACTCAAGAGTGCAGTGGCTGACATGCCTGCTGTTAGAAGCTCTGGAGTTGGTACCACTACATATGCAAGACTTGTCAGTATTTCGACTCTTGGTACATTATCTGAAGATATCTCTCAAAATGGTGTCTCTCGTTTTGAAATGAAGGATGTATTCAGTTCAATGAAAATTTTGGAAAGTTTAGAAAGTGTCAAATTAGTCAACAAGATTTACACATTGAAGAATTCAACACTCAAATCAATCAGTAAGGTTGTTGATTTTGGTATTGTTGTAAACAATAATATAATGTCCTTCTTGAATGAAAATGTAACCATTGCTTCAATCAAGATTGAAAAGATTTCTCAAACCAGATCTGTTTTGACTAATGAAATAGCATGTTATACCTTGAAAAATGAAGATTATGTGATTACACCAACTTGTACACTTGTTAGTAATGATTCCACATTTGTAACAATCCAAATCAGAGACTCTGGTTCCTATGTTGTTGCTGAAGCTGAAACAACAAAACCTCAACCACCTACTTCTACTTCTGGTGATACTGTTATTCCTCCACCTATTGTTGTTCCTAAACCTAACATGAACTATCTTGCTTTATTACTTTTGATTATTCCTTTGGTGGCAGTGATTGCTGTCATTGTTGGTGCTGTTTTCGTCTTTACTAAGAAACGCAAAGAAACTCCTGGTAATTCCAACAAGCTTAATGAGAAGGAATTGTTGAGTATTTAAATAAAATTGTTATACTGCTCTTCAAATTTTAATTCAAAGATTATGACTCCGAGTTGATTTTTTTTGGTTATTTAAGGTTTTGTTAGGATTCAGAGTTGATTTATTTGGGTTATTTAAGAGATTACTTAGTGAAGATTTATATCATTGATTATATTTCTTATAATCTATCAATGATGTAAATTTGATGTTTTCATTTCTTGTATTGATAGATATATAAAGGTCAGGTCAGTATCAACTTTTGAATTATGGACTTTAAGAAGTCAAATGTTTGGGACGTGAATCTACTCATTAGATTGAAGGGTTGGGTTTGGTTAGGATTCAGAGTTGATTTATTTGGGTTATTTAAGAGATTACTTAGTGAAGATTCATATCATTGATTATATTTCTTACGATCTATTAATGATGTAAATTTGATGTTTTCATTTCTTATATTGATAGATATATAAAGGTCAGGTCAGTATCAACTTTTGAAATATGGACTTTGAGAAGTCAAATGTTTGGGACGTGAATCTACTCGTAAGATTGAATAGGTATTGCTAATAAAGGAACATTTCATTGATTTATTGATTATAACGGTCAAATTGAGTTGAATGGAAGTGAATCTGATGTTGATTCAGGTAGTTTCGCCACGAAGTGGTGCAACTACCATCCTTTGTAGATTGAATCAGGTTGATTTGCATGCAATCTGAAATATAGCATTATCAAGAGTGATTATTCACCAATTCAATGATCAATATTCAATAATCGGTTTGATTTCAATCAATAGCTTGCTCATCAAGCTTTGAATATTCCAGTAATCAATGGCAGTCTATTTTTAAATTTAATCAAAGACCATATATAGTAGCTTGACTTTTATGATATGGAAACTATCTAGATGTGTTCTATATTGAATAATCTATTTGAAAATGAGATGAATTAACTCTTCTATTGAGTTTTATTGGTATTGCATGCTATTACGATTATAATAATCTACACAGAAATCACTCTTGAAATATAAACTGTACTACAATGTATGAGAAACATAATGGTGGAATTAATCAATAACTCGTTAAAATGACTGAGATGGAATGTAAACTATGGTCTATTTGTCATGTAATGGTGACTAGACAGTGTCAATTTCATCAAATTATTTCAAACTGATTACAATCAATAAAAACCCGTTCCATACATCAAACATGTCATATAGAATAAGTTTCAATATTTAATATTGTGAACTGACTCTGTTGGATACCAACTCTATAAATATAACAAGATGAAAAGTGTCAACATTCAATTTCACATGCATGTTACAATGGAGAGTCATCATTATATCATCTAGATAGGTAATATTTCAAGTTTCAGTGGAATTGACAGTCTACATATTGAGATGTGTATACTAAGGTTGAAGAAGTGTCACCTTCACTGATTACTGACATGAATATGACAATTGAATATATTATTGTTGCATAAATAATTCATTGTTCAATGATTATGATATGATGGTAAAATTTAATTTTGAAATTAAGATACTTCCCCATTGATTACCTTAGATGTTCCTTAGTTGACTTGAAGGTATTGAGCCATGAATATGAAACTTTCTCAGATTGTTCTCCTCATGAAGGGAAGTGTATTCATATTTGATACTTGTATTATATTTTGTAAACTGACTGAGATGGTATATATTCTATATGTTGAAATGTGACAATTTGACAGATTGTTATTATTATCATACTGAATTCAATTCCAACAGACTAAAATTGATACCATATATACAATAGTGTGATTAAACATATCTGGTAAAGTTACATGATGGTTGGATATACTTTCACTGAGATAGAGTGTACACTTGGATATATTCACTATTGACATTGAACATTAACTGACTCACTCTTTGAAAGTAATACGAATTGTTTCCAAACTGTATACAGTGTACTTAATTGATGTATACTCTATCTGGTATCAACTCTAGATTAATTGTACGTATAATGAGCGAGTTGGAGCATAATCTATGATATCATGTCAAAGTTCTATAGTATAGTGATAGAGTTGACATCTCGACATCTACTGAACCAATATTTATGAAATTGATACCATATGCTAATTAAAGTGTCTACATATCATGATATCAATTTCAGTGAAAATGGAGTTGTTTCTGTACCTTTCAGATTTCATCCATTCTCTTGAAATATCCCCATGTACTATCTACTGAATGCATTTCTTGAAATGAAAATATATAATTTGATGAAAGTCCACTTTATTTGAGATGTGGAACACGATATTATCATTTATTTTGAGATTGGTAATTTTTCCTATGGTATCATCCTTATTATCTTAATTGTGTATTTTGTTGATTGAGGATTTGGTTCTCTATATTCAAGATTTCCTACTGCTTCCAAGTCAACCTTGATATTTCACCCTTTACCTTACTGAAAGATAGAATATTCACCAAAATGTCTGAAATTTGAACCATATACAGTATTTGAGATGTTGAACATGATGGTAATGTTTCATAGAGTGGTCATTTTCCAGATTTTCATCCATGTACACAGTTGACTAGTTGGTATGATAGAGTTGAAATCATGAACATGAAAGTGAAAATAAACTTGATTTTCTATCTCTACTCGTAGAGTGAAGCATTTTCATGTATATATTGTTGGTTGAAGTGATGTATTTGATAGAGTTGGTCTGACTTGTCTTTCCTTTAAGTCAACCATAAAATATCAACATTTACCTTCTCATGATACCATTTCTGATTTTTAGGACATGAAATTGAATTCTATATCATTATAGATCATGTACATCATTTTGGTAAAGTTTTAATAGGTGGGTTTGGATCCCATGTCAACCCCTATTTATTAAGCTTTTCTCCTTAAATACATTAACAATATATATCACAAATGATGTCAAAAGATGGTGATGGTAATGGGGCACAATATACGGCTGATGTGAAATTGTTAAATATTTATATATATCAAGTTATGATGGTGGCTAGTGGTAATAAAATCACTTGATCAAAATTATTTTTGCCGGTTGATCAAACCGAAAAACGCGCGGAAAAGTTAAAAATAGATTCAAGTTGATGTGAAAATGGCTCAGAATCGAAAGGATTAACAAAGCTTACTACTATATTGGAAGTGAAAGTGCCATTTGGCACTCACTTCCATCAACTTTATCATAGAAATCACTCTTGAAACATGAATTGTACTATAATGTGTGAGTAACATATTGGTGTTGGAATTGATCAATAACTCTTTGAAATGACTGAGATGGAATGTAAACTATATTCTAAGGTATATTGGTTGACTGTAAGATACTGAGCCATCAATGTGAAACTTTATCAGATTGTTCTCCTTATCAAGAGGAGTGTATTCATATTTGATACTTGTATTATATTTTGTAAAATGAATGAGATGGAGTATATTCTATATGTTGAAATGTGACAATTTGACAGATTGTTATTATTATCATACTGAATTCAATTCTAAAACATTAAAATTGATTCCAGATGTATATCAGTGTGATTAAATGTATCTAGTAAAGTTACATGATGGTTGGATGTACTTTCGCTGAGATAGAGCGTACACTTGAATATAATCACTCTTGACATTGAACATTTACTGATTGACTGAATGTAAGTTTCATGAATTGTTTCAAAACGTATGTAGATGTATATAAATGATGTATATAATATGTGTTATCAATTCTAGACTAACTTCATATAAAATGAGCGAGTTGGAGCATAATCTTTGATTTTATGTCAAAGGTCTATAGTAAAATGATAGAGTTGACAACTCAATATCTACTGAACCAATATTAATGAAATTGATATCATATGCTAATTAGAGTGTCTACATATCATGGTATTAATTTCAGTGAAAATGGAGTTGTTTCTGGTCCCTTCAGATTTCCATCCATTCTCCTTGACAAT